AAAAAAAAAAAAAAAGGCAGCAAAGCTGTCAAATGTACAGACAAAAAGCAGAAAATAACAATGCACAAAATAGGCTACTGTCAATTCCGATGCAAAAGTACATTATGCTTAACTGCAGATTCAAAATCAAATTTCCTCCATTTTGAGATTCTGAACATAGTGAATGATTGAATCTGACAAACTGCAAAGATATCAGTTTATTTCCATTTTTGAAACTTTATTACACAATACACGATTACAAGTTTACCATCATTTTATCACATAATCAACTAACAATGTTGTAAAGATGCAGGAAATGTCACATAAACACTTTTACGTATCTTATTAGTTAAATAATGAGACTGTTAACATGCCTAAGAATTGAATCTGAGGAAATGTGAAAAAAACAGCATAACTTCTAAAATAATGGCCCGATTATGCTGATTTTCGAACTCTACCTGCGGTTTAGTAAGATTGACCACTCCTGTGAGTTTAATGACAATTGGCTTATCTGTTTTTCTTATATTGTGTTTTCAGTGTTGCATATATGCTGAAAAGTGTAAAAACAGCATAACTTCTACAATAATGGCCTAGTCATGCTGATTTTCGAACTTGACCTGCGTTTTATGAATATTCATCAGCTCTGTAAATATAAAGCCAAGAAGTAAAACTGTCTTCCACTTATCGTGTTTACGCTGAAAGTGCACGGCGACGGCGACGACGGCGACGACAGCAACGACGGCGACGACAGACGCAGGTGATGGCAATATGTACAGACACATCTGTGTCTGTACATAAAAAAATACAAGAAAGTTTTCTGATGCGTTTTCATTGACTGTATATCCAGCTGAATTCATACAATGAAATACATATTTAAGCTACTGCTCTGTAGTTTGAATAACAAAAATACTTCTGTTAAAGAAACTATTACAAGCGCTGATCAATCCTATCCAAAACCCGGTCCAATTTGCCAAGGTCAACAATTAAGTTACCATTCCGTGTTTCTGCTTTATTATAAATTCTCCAATACGACTGATTCAACATATTGCACATGGACCAAAAGATCGAGTGAGCTATACCCGAGGGGATTGGGTTACCCTCGCCATCTGACGGAAGTATTTCTACAACGCTGACGTCACTTGAGGCAAAATTTAGATTATAGAGGGCGCCTCCGTGAACACCAATCATAAGCCGCGCACGCCCAAAAACGCTCACAGATGTTGTGAGGTTGTACCTTCCCGGGTAGACTATTACTCTGTCTTTCCCGTATCTTTTTTCTAGAAACGCCTGTACTTTTATCTGATTCAGCATCTTTCTTCCTCCATTATGACTCTGCTTTCTGGTTAACAAAATGACATATGCCTCCTCACGAGGTACAGGGAGTTTGTCAGGAGCGTTCATAAGTTTGTGTGCATTTTGCCACAGGGTCGGGTGTAACGGCGGTGTAATACAAGTGTAGATTATCTTCCTTGCTGCATAAATTCTACCAGCGTGGAAAAGAATCTTATCTTTTCCGATTCCAAGTGCTTCCAAGATCTCCAATATAATTACATCTCTACTTAAAGGTATCAAGATTTTTACGCCTTTGTTCAGCAATAAATCAAGGGCTTGGACAATCTTGGGTAGAATACCGTCTAAGAAATGTTGAAAGGAGGATCCGCCGGGAACCATTAGAGGACAGAGAATGTCAACATGGACAGCAGCAGTCGGGGATAAATTTTCTGACTTTATTTCATCAAAAGGGCTCTTCCATCCACACTTAGAACGGCTTATAGACTTATTGAAGACGCCATTGTCAATTATCCGTAATACTCCCCTCAGTTTTTCGGCGCTCTGTTGCATTAGTTCAACGTTGAGAGGATGTTTGCGGAACTTATTTAAGTCCTCCTCGTCCACACAGTTCGGTTCAGCCATTTTGAATGCGTCATATTTAAATGTCAATTCTTTGGGGAATGTTTCAATTGAAATTGGTTTGCTGCGTCCAACTAGAGGTAAACTTATTTCCGTTTGCTGCACGTGGCTTTTGAAATCTTGCGGTTCGTTAAATTTCTTTATTACTTTTTCTGTATGAGAAGCTGTGATGTGTTTGGTGTTCAATTTGTTTAAGGCAAATTTGCTGCCTCGTGTGTAGCGTTTGCTGTGCATACTTTTTAAATCAGGTGAGTTTCTCCTTTCTGGAGTGTCCTCGGGATCACGTGGCTTATCTGCATTGTCTCTGCTCATTTTCATATAAATTAATCGAGCTTGAGAGTACACTTTAGTGGAGTCATACTGCTCATTATTTTCCAAATCAGACATACTTTTCTTGTCAGTGGCAATGAAAACCCCACTTAGGTAGATTTGTACAAGGATGTAGAATAATAGCGCTACATAGATCACTTGAAGAAGGGGTGCATTTTTAGAAGACATCTTCGAGTAATTTCTAACTGGAACGCTGGATATGCCAAACGAGTGTTGTTATGGTAACTGCTTTCTGGCCTTGAAACGTCCAAAACGCAAAGTCGATCTTCCTGCAAAACAATTCAGAGAATTATGGATATTTGCTGAATTCTAATTCACTATATGGTTTTGGTATTGGCGCCGACTAGCATAAATTTGTTCTTATGATGCTTTTATAGTATACCATCATCAAAATGGATTAAAAGTAGGGCGTGGATAGTTTGATATTGATATAACAGTACACAACGGCAATGTTACATTTCCAGGGATAAACCAACTAAAAGCAAAACATCC